AGGATTTGTTTTAAATCATTAGACTTGTGTATTCCTTTCATTTCTTTCATATAGTGAATGCACATAGACTTTTTGCAACACATTTTGACCAGCATAAAATATCCCTAGATATCATGTTTCTTTGTCTGTGCGGTGCCACTAGGGCCAACACTAGGGTCAACATTGTAAACTGTACAACATTTGTACAACATTTTTCTTTGTCATTGAAAACCCATGCACATGCAAAAATGGGGAAAGATGCTAAGCTTTCAGTCAGTCTTTGAGTAGTTGGAAACTTGAACAATAAACATGACAAAAACCTTGCCGAATGGGTCTTTATAAGTACTGTATATCATAAATATAAGAAACCAAATACTCACTGCAAGGAATGTTTTAACAGGTTTTCTAAAATACTTAGGATACTACGCGCGCTGTGATTGGCCGAAAACCATGTCTGATTACAGTATCAAAACACGCTCGCGCGCGTCAAAAATTTCTTTTCTTCTTTTAATTTTAGAAAAGAAATAAAAGACGGAATTCCGTGTTTGATACTCTGATCAAAACACGCGGGATGTAGGGAGAGCACGAGAGAAGCGTAGGAAACAGCTTTTCGAATGCTCTCCCTACATCCCAAGTGTTTTGATCAGAGTATCAAACACGGAATTCCGTCTTTTATTCCTTAAATAAAATACTGATAAGAAAATGAACAATTTCTTTTGAGTCTACTGCGAGGTAAACTCCACTGGCGGCGGCTTTCTTCCCAACAACGATTAATTGATCTCTTTGACAAGTTTTGAGTTTCGGTGTTGACTTCAGATGCATTTGACTTCACCTCAGGATTCATACAGTCAGTTTGCATTGTATGTCAGTTTTAAGTGGGTATAGTAAGTACTGATATTCGAATGATTTGAATCATTTGAGGTTTTGTGTGAACTATAACTTTGCTAAGATCGTGTACCGGCCCGTTCCGAAAACCACGCTGAGAATCTTTTAGTGTGGGCTTCTAGTTTTGATTTCCTTCATTGTCAACTCCTTTTAATCTTCAAGGTCGTCGAAGCTACGTAGTTTTTACCAAGAGGCCGATCGCTTTTGAAACGAAGACTGCAGACTGTCGAAATCGCGGGCGCTACCACTTTGAAGCCAAAAAATCATAACARGAAAAACCAGCAGCATTTTTAGACATGGTCTTCCACAGGAAGCCCATGTAACTATTGGGTTGGCTGTGTTATTACATGACCGGAAGCTCAAACGCATTGATGTACGAATATCGTTAGTAAATATCATATGCTACTTGCGCTTTTATATGACAAAAAAACTATTCGTTTACAAATGTGGTATCTGTGATCTCATCGGAATGCACCAGTCTAGGTATCATAAGTACGCGCATGTGCAGATCGCTTGGTGCTTCGAGTAGTATGCTTACGAAACTAAATCAATGGCCTTTCTAGCGTTAGGCAGTCCTGTGTGGGCAAAGATTTCAAATTAGAACAAGAAGAAACATTTTTTATCAATAACAAAAAGGCGAGTTTATGATTTTATGGTATCATATTTACTTTTGGGCCTGAGAGGTCAACGTTCACATAATCTACATACCAACATAATCTACATACCAACGTTTGATTTTATCAGTGAAAGCAAGGACTACTTTAAATGTTCATTGCTGGTATTAATTACAATTAATCTAATTTTTATCTTTTATGTAATATCCTGCTGTTTTTCTCAAGTTTCATTTACATTCTTAATATCATATGATTAGACAAAATATAACATCATAATCTTTTCACTCGTGTCTATCAATTTTCAAAAATAGCTAGTCCGACTTCACGCCCCAGGAGCGTCTAGTTATATGATAAACAGAATATATTGTCGCTTGCAGATCCGAATTTCATCTTCTCGTGTTGAAAATCTGTCAGAGAGATGAAAGAGATCTTTTCAACACTCGTAGATAAAATCGAAAACAGTTTTATTCAAATTTCGTAGCATTGTTTACTTAACAAATAGATCTCATTTTTCCGTGCGTGTGRACTCTAATAGATACACAGATGACGTCAAAATGTAGTGAGAARAAAAAAGTACGCACGAGACGCAGTCGAGTGCGTGACTGTTGTTCTCACTACATTTTGACGTCATCTGTGTATCTATTAGAGTACACACGCACGGAAAAATGAGATCTATCTGTTTTATACAACAAACAATTAGTTTTGACGTAATCCGTGTATCTATACTTTGATAACACACGAAAGCCAACCAATCAAAACGTCTGATTTTACTGAAAAGTTGTATAAANCTCTCCCCCCCTCGCAAACGAAATAAATTACTTTTTACCCCCTCCCCCTCCCCGTGAATTTTTCCGTTTCAAAAAAGTTCCAGTTAATTTTAAAATTTTAAAATTTGATTCATTCCGTTGCTTTGAATTAAGTTGTCCAGTAAAAATTCTACAAACATACGTACCTCACCAATTATCTTTTGGAAATAAACGTGCACGCCACAGGATTGGAAATCAGGATAAGTAGGCGAATTGTGAATTAGTTGAGAAAAATTCCTTGTTCCGATCATTTTTGACCGGTAGCCAAACACGAAAAGCATGGCGTCTGCAACATCGGATTCTTGATCCGAAGTACCACTATTGTAGGTAATAATCGAGTTTAAAGACTGAAATGAACAGTACAAAACCATGTGACATTCGTGCAAGAAGAATTGGTCTAGTTGTTCAAAATCTTACCTTGTAGAACGGTCCGAACTGAACAAATTTTGGATATGCCTTAAAATTTTCAAATATGATATTGGAAATCACCAGTCTACTAGCTTCTCCGACCCCTGCAGCTGGGCAATCTAACTCCATTTCATCTTCTTCTCCCTGCTCTGGGCTATTTTCTGTCTCCATTGCTTCGGCCATCTTGTCGTCTTTCACCTATTCGTTTGCTTTTGGCGCCAGAATCTGTGATTTTTTCGATAGCCTCGTCCCCAGGGACTTGATGATTTGTCTTTACCCAGGGCAGAGAGAACAAGGGGCCGTTTGGCGTGCGCATGCGCCAGTCTGTTGAAAATTCATTGAAATTCATTAGTGATTCACTTCAAGCGAGAAATTACAACGACACGAAGGACAATTTCCAAAAATGTTTTTGGCTGTTTTTGACCCTGAAATGTTCTGTCATGACTCAAGAACACTCATAAATAGTGTAACCTACAACGAGGAAAAACACTGGCGTTATTGGACTGATTGGGACCGTTTAAAATCTTATTTAACAAATGTTGATATTAATGACTTTGTGTTTACAATATCGGAGGCTGCAGTGGTTTATATACGCAACTACTATTCCAGTTTTTGCTGAGTGCTGGTCAAGATTCAACGCAGGTCATGAAGTAAATGGTAAATGTACACATGGAGTAATATAATTAGGCGTTGTTTAGTAACATCGACCTCGAAATGTTCGAAAGACAGTTTCTTGAAGTGTACAATATTTACGCTTAAATATTATTAACTGTTACATGAAATACTACTTTCCTTTTATATACCACCAGGACTCATTAGAATAAGGCTTCCAATATCAAGACTTATGCTTTGCAAATGGTTTGATAATGTTTTCTTGTCTATGAAAAATGTGGAACGGTGTTAATTCTGCAAATTCTTACGTGCTGTTGAGCACTCACGACAAATTTAGCATTCTTTTGGCTGAAGAGTTGAGCTTGTTTGAATCAAGTTATCATAAATATCTATGTGTAGTTCTATAGCTGTATCATTATAAGTTATGAAATAAACTATTGCAGTGCAATCGATTCACATCTTAGGAATTTATTATTGCTAAAGGTGTGCCCAAATAATTCACTACATTTTAACGGTACAAAGTGGCTTCGTGTTATAAATCTAGCCCGAGACTCACAGTAATTTATATAAAGTTTGAAAGATATTCGTGTGCATTGTAAATATATCTACTTGGTTTTGTTTGGAAAAATGTGGAAGATAAGTAAAAACATCAATTATGTTCAGAATCGAAGCTTCCGCAGCTACTACAATGTTATTCTACCCGTATTCTAGAGCCCATGGTCGTTATAACGCAGCGGTTGCGCGCATGCTCATGCA